CTTCACGTTCTTCGCGGCACATCAGATGATGCACCGGTTTAGATGAAACCTGAAATGCCGAAACCAGAAGACGCCACGTGAATGTCTAACAAAGCACTCTGTGTAGTTCACTTCTGAAGTGCTCAGCCCCGATTCCTTTTTCTCAGAGAGCCAGTCTGTATTCCAAATCAATCCAAGACGTGTGTATCATTCTTTGCCTTTGGTACTATTGAGCTGACACCAATATATGCTTCTGGATATTTGTTATCCCCAACAGCACGACGACACCAAAGCTGCCCAAACTGCACATATCAGAATTGGGACACCATCAGGTATGTGAGAAGATTCTCCTGAACAGTCAGCAACAATAGGCAACAATGGAAACGATAGACACAACGCTGAGGCCAGGAGTCCTTCGTTTGAGTCCGACTCAGCAATATCCCACAGGAACTGTTGCAGCGTCGGTGTACAATCGATCACCTCAGCCGGAGTTTCTAGTCTCTTCCAATCGCCAGTCGTTGACTACAATTCGCCAACCCATATTTCATGAGACTGTTCGAGATGAAACTCCCCAAAACAGGCAAAAGAGGGTGAGAGAACAAGATTCGACGCGAGAAGAGATCGAAAACCAACTAAGATCAGATGGAAGTAAAGTCGCAACGGCTGGGCGGTGGTTGTGGTCAAAATTGTCCAACATGGTCGGATCGATTATCTCTCCAAGCACAAGTCCCTCTGAAACGAAGCAATCTGAAAGAGATGGAAGTACAGTGCGAACGAACCGCCCTCAACCTACTGCTGGGTGGACTGTTGCGAATTATGGGGCCGCTGGGGATAGTGGATTTGGGGCCGGGACGTATGACGAATCCGAGATACCGAGGAAGGCCACTCCTCAAGCGACGCTCGAAGAACAGTCCCAGTCATTCCCAGATGAAAGTAGACGACCAATGTTGGATAAAGGAACAGTAAGGGAAGATGGGGCAGTGAGGCCGATGACAGATCAAGAAAGACGAATCGTCGGTGATTTGCCGACTTACCACTCTCACGATGAAGCTGCTGCCGATCTGGCTTATATTATCAAAGTTCGCAAAGCTTGTATGTTGTAGCATTCAGTGTTTCAACTTTGTTTCCTTCAATGCAGACAAATTGGACAGAAAGCATCTCTTTGATACTCTTATGGACGATGACCCTTATAACCCAAGCAGTAAACCTCATGTTAAACCACCGGGAATGAGCGATTCTCTCTGGTCGAAGCCAGCTCAATGGGACCCTTTTACGTCACTGTATCAATCGACGTTTAATCCTCCAGATGATCGACTTAACGTCTTGGTACGCCATGTGTCTGCTGCTCGTGTATGATGTCTGCCACTTTCAGCCTTATCAAGCTGTTCCTCCAGCCTTTTTCTTCCATAAATCTCCAAACCCTTTTGCTGCTGATAACTGGGCTGCTTTCAAAGACAGGATGCAGCGACCGCGACGTTGGAGACGCCCCTTCCATTTTAAGCGCTACTATCGCCAGCTAGTAAGTTGTATTCCCAAGACAAATCTCATATGACTTTCTGTAGCCTGACTTAAAGGCAATCAAATGGTGCAGCTATGATGAATATTTGGCCGCTAGGCAATTGGAAGACGAGGAAAGAAAGCGCTACACTAAGCAACAAACTGCCAAACGACAGAAAACATTAGATCTCGACTCTCCAGCGATTCCTCTAAGGAAACCAGCATCGGCTAATATGGCCACGCCTCCGAGGCGCTCTTTGAAACCATGCCCTCGTGGAGGGGTGATAATCGAAGTCTCAGATAGAAAAGTCAGTTTGGAAGAAGAACCACTCAGAGTCCCAACACCTAAGGCGAAAGAGACTGAAAAGTTTGAAGAGGACAAAGCTGCACGCGTACTTGTGGGCCAACCAGCTGAGAGCAAGAGGAAGGGATCCCGATTGGGATCGCTCGAATCCCCAAAAACGAAGCAACGTAAGGAAATGGGAGAGAAACCCGTCGAAGTGAAACATGTTGTATTCGTCAAGCCGGTAGTGGAACAACTAGCAACGGAACGAGAGTCCACCAAACTGTCTCAGTCAGCTACTTCACCCCCGACTGAAGATCCAACATCTCCTGAATCTCACAGCACTGCGGAAAAGGGCGAACCTCCAAAGCATGCTGGGAAAGCTGAACCCCACGAAGCGTCCACAGCACGTGAGGCTCAGAAGACTGAATCCATCGCGGTCCCCTGGTGGCTGAGCAACGTTGGAAAACCGATCGCAGTTCCAATTGAGGATGACAATGTCTTCGCTGACAATGCGAATGAAGAAAAAGATAAATCTGATCAAGTTGCCATCAATCAGTCATCCCAATCATCTACTGCTCCACCCTCTGAACACCCCCCGACCCAAACGAGCCTCTTTTCCTTTTCTGGATCGGCAACTAGTAACGCATCTCTTTTTGCCTTTGGTCAAAACTCTTCTGATGGTACGATCGCTTCAGCTGAGAAACCACCCCTTGCAGCAACCACACTCCCTCCTGCGTCAGCGGTTTCTGGAAATTTGGAACTCAGCACGCTTGGGACTGGCAAAACAATCGAATTGCCGACGTCTGCCAGTCTGTTCGGGAGTGGTGCACATTCCGAAGGCATTGCCTCGTCAGGTGCGAGGCTCGAGTCATTAGGAGAGGATGCCGCCAGAGTGCCAAGCCTCTTCCAGCAAACATTAGCCTCCCCGTCGACCGCTGTCATTGGGCAATCAGCAACGGCGAAAGAGTCCACAAACATGTTCGGAAAATCGGGCACAGAAATTGCCAGCCTATTTGGCAAGCCACAGACAAGTCTGTTTGGTTCAACAACAAACACAGCGCCTCAGGAACAAAAGAGCGTTTTCCCTCCGACTTCTCTCTTCGCTCATCCAGGTGGAGCTCCAACAGCTCTGTTCAGTCAATCAAAGAATGGACAGGACGGTTTGTTTTCGCAGAAAGCCGCTGAGCCTGGTCCAACACTCTTCGGGTCCCCCCAGCAGTCCCAAACAACGCCGTTTGGACAGTCAACGACCAAGACAAATATGGATCTTAGCGAGGGGCAGAAGACACCGAACCCTCCACAAGGCCTCTTTGGTTCAACAAAGCATTCAGAAGGGACAAGTCTGTTTTCCCAAAGCGCTGCCCCAGATACTTCTATCAAAGGAGGACTGTTTTCATTCGGTGCTTCTCCCGAAGCTCCATCTCAACCGACAAGCCTCTTCGCAGATTTCCAACCAGGAGCGACCAGCAACTTATTTGGAACCTCTCCGTCACCAGCACCGCAGCCTCAAGGACAAGGCAGCCTTTTCTCATTTGGGAAACCCGCAGAATCTCCACAATCAGCAGTATTTTCACCCCCACCGCTCTTCAACCAACCGCAGCAAGGAGCTCTTTTCGGGCAAACAGCCACGTCTGGCAGCGGAAACCTTTTTGGGACACAACCTGCCCAAGGAAGCCTCTTCGGAAGCTCGTCCAACCAACCAAGTCTTTTTGGTTCACATCAGCAAACTGCACCGCTTTTCGGAGGTATGGCTGTACATGCTCGTTGGTTGATTTCCATACTTGGTGTGGTGTTGATTCCTTTTTAGCTGGCAATGTGGGACAACCCTCTGCTGTTTTCGGGTCATTCCCTCCAGTAAGGTTCTGATCAGATGTTCTCCGTTACAGTCACTCTCTTTTCAGAGCCAGGATGGCCCAAATCCGTTCGCTTCTAACCGTGAGTAGCAAACTAATCGATCGGGTCGACGTTGTGTCTCAGTGTCAGGACTTGCTCGTCGTCCCAAAATCAAGCTGAAACGAAGCATGCAATAGGCACAAGTTTTCCTATTATACGTTTTGTTAAGTACAACTCGATTATGAACACAAACTACAGTGACTTCAACGCCTTGCCTGATTGGATCTATTCGTTCATTGCTTCAACGTGAATCAGATAGCGGAAGAATTAAAGTTACAGGGAAGGGCGGAAAAGCATGAACCAAGGAAAGCGCGGCTGTGGATGGCGACAGCATGCACCGCAGCAATGAATGCTATGAGTTCACCGCGTATTGGCAGTACGCGGCAGCAGATAGGAACAAGTTGTCATAGGATCCAGAAACCAGTTCGACAAGTGTGTAGATCAGGCTCCACAGCACAATGGATGTGGGGTTACTCACGTATCCTGTCATCGCGAAACATGAAGTTGCAAAAAAACGCAACAGATCCGAGAACCTGACAAGTAACACATGCAAAAAATCAACGCAAGTGTGCGATAGACCTACTGTCTTAGACTTATGGAGCTTCGGAGTTTGAATCTGGTTTCCCAACAGAGCTGCAACTGGATCCGCAAAGAAGAGTGGGGAAAGGTAAGCAAATGGAAGTTTGAACCAGGTCCAGAACAAGATAACAAGACCATAGAGCTGGATTCCACGATCGTTCGGGCGAGTGAATCTATTTGAGACAAAAGGATACAAGAAATTGATGGACCCGAATTTTGTACCGAAGTGGCTTCATAAAGGCATTGGCGACCATAACAAGAGATGCAAAAGCGAGCGCAAAATTCCTAGTGAAAGAGTCCATCTCGACGTTTACCATAATCAGACCCAAGAAAAAGTGAACACCCTTCCTGATGGAACATTTTGATGGAGAGGATCAGTCATCCCAGGTACCTTGCGATGAACGATGGAATGAATGAACATTTTTCGGCAAGAATGAAAATTACAAGAGAGAGCAATATAGCGGCCATATCGTTGGTGGAGTTTCTGGCCTAATCAAGGAAATGGCTCTTTGGAACAATAAATTGACATTTTCGCGCCTGCTAAAGGTGTCTAGTCGCGTAGGTCGACTCCGCTGTGCGACTTGTATGTTAGCCTGCTTAACTGTGTTTTGTCGTCGTTTGATCTGTTTCCTCACCCAAGTTTTCTGTTCCATGGGTCGTCCCAAAATCTGTCTGTCTGTTTTCTTTTCCTGTTAACAAACCCTCGTGAACCTCACACAATGAACAGTGAGCGAAGCCTGCCTTTAACGGACCACTTCGACAGAAAATGACCCAAAAAGAATACAGCAGCGTACCTTTTCGGTACCAAACATATTTAGGTATGGGATCCCAGAAAAGCTTGGACTTTGTTTCCGAAGATCTCTATGTCAAACGAAATGCTAAAACTCCAGAGCGCTATTTTACTATGGATGAAGTACAACAGCACAATTCGAAGACTGATTGCTGGGTGGTCGTTGATGGAAAGGTCTACGATGTGACAGCATGGGTGCCGCGCCACCCTGGAGGCGAGCTGTTGATATTGGACGTTGCTGGAGTGGATATCACTGACCCTTTTCTGGTTAATCATTTACCTTTTGTTCGGGAGAAGCTGCTGCCGAAATTTCAAATTGGTTATGTTTCTGATTATAAAGTTTGTGAAAAATCGAAGAGTTTTCGTGAATTTGCCAAGATGGTTGAACAGAACAGCTGGTATCAAACCGATTATGTTTTCTATGCCAAGCTGTTCGCATGGTATTTGTTTCTTTTTTTCTCGGCTCTCCATTGTATCCTGCATGGGCAGTGCTTCTTTGTTCGTGTAATCATGGGATCTTTGTTGATGGCGCTTTTTTGGCAGCAACTTGCCTTCTTCGGTAAGCAATCATCCAGATTGTCTCACAAACTCGCCTCTATTTTCTTCGTAGGACATGACACTGGGCATATGGCTGTGACCCACAATCGTGTCACTGATAACCTCGTGGGTGTTCTTGGGGGTAACTTTTTCATGGGGATTGCCATAGGTGAGAGGTACTCAAAGATGAGAAGTGTGGAACCTGGGCTTCTTTTGCAGGATGGTGGAGAGCCACCCATAATGTACATCATCTTGTCACCAATTTTCTGGAGTACGATCCCGATATTCAGGTAGGACTGTTTTTACGGATGTTCGTTGTGTTACGTTTCTATTTCAGCATCTTCCTGTTATCGCTATCTCCAAGAATTTCTTCGACGGTATTTGGTCATTCTACCATGATCGTCGCATGGAGATGGATGGTGTTGCTCAATTCTTTATCAAACGCCAGCACATTTTATTCTACCCAATTATGTTCGTCGCAAGGTTCAATCTTTATTTGCAATCAATCTTGCTGCTCCTCCAACCAAAGGAAGCTGTTAGAAGAGGAGTAGCATATCCCAGGCTGGAGCTTTTGATGCTCATAGGATTCCATTGTTGGTTGTCCCAACTGCTCCGCACGTTCCCAACTTGGACTGAAACCGTCATTTTCGTTTTATTGTCTCACGCCGTAGCTGGAGTTCTTCATGTTCAAATATGTATTTCTCACTTTCCCATGAGGGTGATGGATAGCAAGGAGGAAAAGCCACTGGAGAAGACTGATTTTTTGACCCAACAAATCGATACATGTCTCGATATCGATTGTTTCCCCATGAACGACTGGTTCTTCGGTGGCCTGCAGTTTCAAACTGCCCATCATGTACGTCATGAATGTCTTGCTAAATTGGCACGGTTATTCGTTGCAGCTCCTTCCTTTGCTCCCGCGCCACAACCTTCGAAGTATTACGCCATTTGTTGAAGATTTATGCGCCCAACATGGGTTGCAATACAACAAGCTGTCATTTCAACAAGCCAATGCAAAGGTCATTGAGACTCTGAGAAATACGGCCGATGAATTGCACCCATGGCTTCACGCACTTTTTAATGCGGAAGGGTAGAACAGTGATTTTTCTTTGTCTTATGTTTGAAGAGAGCCAACAGAATAGGACCAGAGACTAATCTAGTGAGCCTTATGGCTGAGAGCATTGAGGTTCCTAAGACGGATGCGTTAGGCAGAAAGGTGTGGGACAAGGCGTTCTACGCTAAGAGAGCAGCGGTTCGTCAGTTTGAGGACGGCCAAGATTTCGATCATGACGACTTTTTATTAGACCCCAGCCAAAGCAGAAAAAAGGCAAGGAAAGAGGCACCTCCACCAGCTGAACGGCGTCCGTTGGAACAACGAAAGGACGCTGTTTCTTTGGATACAGAACTAGGGAAATCAAAAATTGTTACAACTCATACCCCCAAACAACAACAAGGAGGTTATTGGTGCACAGTGTGCGAATGTCTTATTAAGGATAGCCAAGCGTATTTGGATCATATCAATGGGAAGCGGCATAATCGTTCATTGGGAATGACAATGAGGGTCGAGAGGGTTGGAGTGGATCGTGTCAAGCAACGACTGAATCAGATCAAGCAGGTACAGCGTGAGCGATTTCGTGATGCATTTCTTAATTTTTAGATGAAGGAAAAAGAGGAGCAGGAAGAGGATTACGTAGGAATTGAGACGCGGTTGGCTGAAGCCGAGAAGAAGAAAAAAGAGAAAAAGGAGAAGAAAAGGAGCAAGAAGAAGAAGAAAGAAGTGATGAAAGGGGAAAAAAAAAAATCAAATGGTAGGAAAGATTCTGAGTTGGCTGTGTTGATTGACGATTTCTTCAGATGGAGAAGAGGATCAAGAAGCTAACGATAGTCCAGCAGCAATTGCTGCAAGACTTCGTAGAATGTTCGAAGAACAAGCGAAAGCTTCTGCAAACTAAATTTATGTGAACAGTGCTTGCTTTGTTAGGCGACAACCTAGAGTTTTTGAAAAAAGAAAAACCGAATTCCCGAAAATGAATTTTTCACCGCGAAAGTTAGTCCAGATCGTTCGGCAAGGGTTCGTCCAAAGCATGCTCTTCGGCAGAAGAGGAGCTCATCCATTGATGAGCCACTTCCCCGAGACTTTGCTCCAATGGTGAAGAAATCCTACCATCATTTGGAGAGTCCACCTTTTCTGTCGTTGAGATATCATGAGACGGAGATGGTGTCTGATGGAACCCAAATTCATCCGATGCGTTCAATTCTATTGGACAGTCGCCACTAGAGCTTCCACCAGACGATGTTAACAAGAGCATTGCCGCTTCCCTCAATGTGTCGTCGTCTTGGATGTCACGAGGCGCAACCTGCGAAAAGAGGGGACGCCAGAGTAGGCCCAGCATCATGGAGATGCCGCGATGACAACTGATTGAGATGATCGTGTGGCTGATTTTCACTCGTTGCTGTAGAGGCAGTTGGATACGACGCGTACGGGGAGTAAACCTTCATCCATGATTCAATGAAGGGAAATGACGATGATGAGGAGCTGAAGGGCGAAGATGCCATGAGCGGATTTGGCGTCGCTGCCGACATTCCATCTAGAGCTTCGCCTGTTGAATTGGCTGACGCCGTGCGGGATCTTTTCGCATCAGGGGATTCGTCACTCTCATCTGCTCGTCGCTTAGCACGAGGTGTTGACGGCAAAGCAGCTGAATCGTTTTCAGCGTTCTGTTCTGGCGGACCATCGCTGAGAAAATCGGAGTTCGCTTGAGGGAAGAGGGCTCTCATGTCGCCATCATACCCAACGTCACCAGACAGTCGGGTTACAGTGTCTTGCCCTGCGTCTCTCTGATCAAGCGGTTGCATCGCTGCATGGTGGTGAGGAGCATAACGTGAAGGGGAGATGGCGAGCTCCCCACAACCACAAAGACAGAAGGAGGTACCAGGAGGAAGAGCTGTGAGGCCCATTGCTACCTCCGATGACGATGAAGCTGTCGGATTCTGACGAAAACTCTGATTCGTGCCGTAAAGAGACGATGGTGCGGTTTGTAAATATCGACCATTGAACGACGTTGAAGAAGAGGGAGGAAGAAAAAGAGGATCAAAGGTCTGAGCATTGTAATAGACCGTTGTTGGGGGTGATCCAGTAGCAGCTGATAAGGGGCTGGCAGAGGAACTGGCTAGGCCAGGCCCATCTAAGACGTAACAGTGACATCGTTACACTCGCTTCTCGCTTACCGAATTCCTCAGAGTTGATCGTCATCCCAAGACCGTAGTCCTTCGATTGGGGCGGTAGGATCATCCCGTGCGCTGGCTGATGAGACTGATAGTGCATCAGATAATCAGCGGATCTGAGCCATTGTGTTGCATCGAATGGGGCTCCACCGGAATACCCTGCAGAGGTCCCAGCAGCACTATAGAGGTCCAGCGAGTTGTCGCGAACATTTCGAGCCTTTGCCGTTGCTTTTCTTGTGGGTCGCTTCTGTCGCTCTCGAGACTGAAACAGCCGGTCGGATGGCTTTGGCAACAACTTCATAATACTTACATAAGGAGCATCCAAAAATGACTCGTTTGCCTTAGCCACTCCGATTTTGGAGGCTGTTGGTGGAACGGTGCGCCTTTTTTGCACGCCCCCCCGTAACTCAATCTCGCGGGCGATGTGGACCTTGAACTTGAAAGCTTCGTGGCGAGCCTCCTACAACAACCATTTCGTTGAGAACACAACGAACAAATAATTAGCCTACCGATTCTGTTGCATAATACTTGGGATTGAAATACTTGGTGTGGCGCTGGCCGCCTTCATCCGTCCACTGGGCTGCCCAGATGCCCCGACAATTCTTGTAAACCCCTTTTACATTTTTGAAGTTGGTAGCTTCATGTGCCGCCATTTCACTTGGAGAAATGACAGCAGTATAGAGAGCGGAAGGAGGCACAACCCCCGGAGGTCCCCTCATAACCCCTGAATCCAAGAGAGTGATTGGGGAGGCTACTGCCATTGGGTAAATCACCTAGATTAGCCGCCGTCAAGCCAGGCGCCGCAAGCAACGATTGGAAGCTCCCGAGTTCGTGAATCGAAGCCCCATTTTCTCGAGGACGGATCGCATTCGGATGACTGATCTGGGGATGTAGAAGGGCAGAAGAAGGGAGCCCGCCTGGAAAAGAACGGCTGCACTTGAAACGCGAGAAGCTCCTTACTAGCTGAATTATGGTCCCCGAATCCCCTCCAGCTTAGCTGCGAGGAGAAAGAATCAGTGCGCTACATGGACTACTTCATCTGCAAGCTTACAAGGCTGGCTTGAACTGATGGAAGCCATGGGAAGGTGAGAAAGGTCAAGTTGAAAAATGGAAGCTATTCGAAATGCTCCAACGCTACTGGAAGACTGAAAAAAGTGAACCTGCCACTCCAACCATAGCACACTGAAAAACTTCGAAGAGTTGCAGGGAAAAGAAGGATACGAAGATAACGCCAATAAGAGACAACTGCAGAGAGTAGAATGACGACACTTAAAATAATGAACAATAATTGGCGTCTTTTCAAAGAAGAGGAACAATGAAGTTATTAAAACAATTATTGTCGGGAAGAGAATTGGTTGGAAAGTCCCTTCTTATTTATTTATCTGGACTGACAAGGTCTGTGGATTCCAGAGTTTCCTAAAACAAATGTTCGGTACAATTTTGCCATTCAGCAGTGATTCCAGAGGAGCGTGTTAGCCACTCGATGAATTATTAACAGAATTCAATAATTTCAGTGATCCGCGTGCTTTTTTTCTCATAACAGGAAAACATGCGGTAACGTGCGCCACAGACCCTCCCTCAGAAAGACTGAATTTTCAGCTCAGCTTCAACATTGGCGGACTACAATCTTCCCAGACAATTTCAAATGGGAAAGAAGTCTAAGAGAGTCACAGCTGCAACCGACCAGCAACAACCCACCATTCTGGATACGAGCGGATTACCACCCAATCATCCGCACAAGAAGGAAGCCAAATCACTCTCCGCAAATGTCCAGAAAGTAAGTCCTCGGTTTTTCCTTTGAATGTTTTTTTTTCTTGCAGTTACGCTTCATGAAAATAGCCGAACATGACCGCGAACAAACAGAATTGATTCTGGAGCAGAGAGAACATGATGCCAACGTCCAGTGGTGTATTGTTGGACATGAAGATGAAGCTGCATTCAGAGCAAAATCGGAACAGTACGTTACACTTCTAACTCGTACTTTTTTCCATTTCAGTGATAGATCAACCAGCGTGAGCATAATTCTCGTTCAAGCCAGGCGATCGTATGGAGGAATGAACAAAGCTGTAGAAGTGAGAGCTTAGCCATCCAGGATCAGTGTCAGTTTGTCTTCGATGCAGGATTCTATGAAGCGAATCTCCAAGAGGATTGAGAAATGGAGGTCAGACGAAGAGGAATCAGACCAGGTTGAGCGTTTAAGATCAAACAAGCGTGACTCTAGTGTGAATTAGTGTGAATTTAGTGTGAATTGATTGTGAATTGATTGTGAATTGACTCTCCCAATTTTTCTAAAACAACTTTTCGTACAGCGCAGACCAGCATATCGTGTTCACATGCAAATCAATTCCTGTTGAGGCTTTCTGCAAGGACGTTCACAAAGAAAGTCCATCAAAAGGCCTGTACCTTTAATTTGTTAGACTTCGTTTTTGATTTGTAGCCCAGTTTTTTGGTTATTTGTTGTTCTCCAACTCAAGTTTTTGCGTCTTAATCGCTTGTGCGTTCCAAAATCAGTCATATATTCTGCGACATTTTTTTGGTCTCCTGCATCTTTATCGCATCATTCTTATTCACCAAAATGGGTTTTCTCGAGGTCGGAACGCCGTTGAGTTGGGAGGAATCTGAATCTGTTCGTTCCTATGTTAAGCGCCATGGTCTGTTGCAATTTCTAAATGTATGGAACAAAAACAAAAATCGCTTTGATGGGCAGCTCCGGTGGGGCGAAGAGGTTGGTGCGTCCAGGGTTCTAAGTTCGCGAATTTTCCAATTTTTTCGTTCCCTCAGAGTACAGTCTCGTCGATATCGACAGCCTTCAAGGCCACTCGCGCGTGTACGCAGACGCTGCCGAGATTATTTCCGAGTTAGAAGTTCGCGAACACATCTGTCAACGTCCCTCCCACACAGTTGTCATCTGAGTGGCACCCGGAGTTTGCCAATCACATGATTGAAGCCATTCCATCTCCCCCTTATCCGCTGAACACTGATTCAATTTTGATGATCGAGCCAAGCATGAGATTAAGACGTGCTAAAATTCAATCAATCTTGCCATCCAACAAATACGTCACCTCTCAAACAGCGTTTCCCCCCCGTTTTGGGTTGGACGACTTTATAACTCCCACAGGATCGGGGGTCGATCCCGATCATTCAATCACTCGCAGCATTTTCATTCCTGACGATCTCATCAACCCTCACCCACGCTTCGGGACCCTCGTCAACAATATCCGGTGCCGGCGAGGTGCAAAGCCCTTCATCACTATACCAGCCTATCGGGACAAGTTCACGTTCAACTCGAATCTCAGCAACCCAGCAGAAGCGGATTGGTCGCAAGCAAAAGACTTAACATCAGTGGATCGTTTCGAGGTCGAGCGCCTTGCTCGCCGCACAATCAACCCGATTCAAAATCAGATTTACATGGATTGCTTTGCTTTTGGAATGGGAATGAGCTGCGTCCAGACGACCTTCGCAACACCTGATGTTAGTTCCGCGCGGTTTCTCTACGATCAACTTGCAGTTCTTGCGCCGCTGTTCCTGGCGCTGACTGCTTCGACTCCCGTTTTGCGTGGAGTACTCGCGGATACGGATACGCGATGGGCAACTCTCGAACAGGCAGTGGATTGCCGAACTGAAGAAGAATCAATGCGCATTCCTAAGTCGCGCTATTCAGGAGTCTCCCTATATATTTCTGATTCGCCAAGACTTACAGAGCATTTGCCTGAGCTGAACGATACGGCGGCTCCCATTGACGACGAAGCCAAAGCATTACTGCTCGAGGGAAGCGTTGATGAAGTTCTCGCCAGTCATTACGCTCATTTATGGCTGAGAGACCCGTTGGTTATCTTCGGAGAAAAAGTGGAACTAGATGATGGCCAAGCCGTGGATCATTTTGAAAATATTCAATCCACTAATTGGAACTCCATGCGATTCAAACCGCCCCCTCCAGGATCATCAGCAGATCAGATGAGTCCAATTGGATGGAGAGTCGAGTTCAGAACCCCCGAAATCCAACTGACCGATTACGACAACGCTGCTGGTGTCGCGTTGATATCAGTCTTGGCGCAAATGATCCTTTTCAATGGATTGGATCTATATATTCCAATGTCGAAAAACGACGACAATATGACTCGCTCGTGGAATAGAAATGCTGTAACTGAAGAGACCTTCTGGTTTCGTCACGATATCTCTAACGCCACTACTAATTGGGACTTTAGCGAAATGACCCTACATCAAGTTCTAACAGGTGACATAAGGGAATTGAATGGCTCATCTTTTTGTTTGCAGGGTGTTCCCGTGTCGGATTTGAAGGTTTGATCCCGATGTGCGAATCGTTTTTGCAGTCTGAGTCGGCTGTGGGTCGCTGTGGACGTGAAACGCGTGCTAAATTTCGCGAATATTGTGATCTGTTGGAACGAAGAGCTTCCGGCGAACTCCTCACAGGAGCCCAATTTCTCCGAAAATTTGTCACGTCTCATCCAGACTACAAGCAGGACTCTATTGTGACACCAGCTATTTCTCATGATCTGACAGTCCTGAGCACAAACATCGGGTTCGGAGTCTGGACGTCAAAGGAGCTTCACGGCGACGCTCTTGCTAGGAATATTCCGCAAACGCCGCTTCCAGCAGGCGTCGACCTTCCGGTATTCTCTTCTATTCTGAGGCAAACCACCAACCCCGCTTGTGTTCGCGATGGTATTTCTTCCACTGAAACAGGAACAGTCTTCACTCTACTCAATCGACCTATTGTTCGAGTGAATCAAATTGAAAGCATCTACGGCACTCCTTTCGATTCGTCAACATCGCCTACCGATCTGTTCCACCTAACGTTCGAAGGGCTAGTAAGTAGTTCAAGCATCCCCTTTCATTTGAAGTCGCAAGCCTCCACCCCTAGCTCCAGGACTCCTGAGGATCAACTTCGACGAGGGCCGTGTTTTACGATCAGAGGAATGAAGTTGACAAATAACGGGGTCATCGCGAACGAGGATTTCACACGAGCGTGGGTAGTGAAAGGATTTGACTTTGTGGGAGGAGGTCCATTGAGCAAGGACGCAAAGCGCAATTTCGTCGTCCAGCTGAAGAAAAGTGCGTGTCTGGTGTGTTGCAAGCAAAGTTGCAATGACGTGCCTGCAAGCAGCGAATCGGCTGCAACATCATCAACGACTGATATTTCGCCTTTGAGTCCAGCGGGAATTAAATGCACTTGTAACTCCTCTCAGTCACTTCAAGAATTGCTTCTTCAACTGCATAAACGAAATGGTGTACCTGCATTTGCGGAAGATGCAGATTTTCTCGAGTCAACAGTTTGCCCCAGTTCGTGTGAGTGTGAAATAGGCGATGATCTGATTCATGATCTGAGTAGATCTCTCTACGTGGACTTTGATGAAGACCTGTACAATACAAGTGAGCTATTTCTAAAATTCTCGGTAGCCTCTTGCCTTGTAGATTTGTGAGTTGGTGACTAACTGGATGGTATGGTCCGAACAAGGTTTTTTCGTGTCCCAGTCCGCACGAAGAGGCTCCTGAATTTTGTCCATGACAGTAGTTGTCCACTGTCACGGGGATCTATTTGCACTTTTCACGTTCTCTTTAACTAAAACTGACAATGTAGCATCCAATCTATCGATCCGACCACTCATGGCATCGATTCGTTGCAATACATTCTTAGAGAGGACGTCAAAGCGGGTTTCCTGAATTAAAGACGCTACACCATTGTCGTTTGTACCAGCGAGCGAACCATTTCCATTACTGCCAACTGAATCTAAAATGCAAAGATCACGCCGTTGTGCGTACGACTTTCTCACTTCGGTCTCGACTGCTTTGCTTGTGTCTTTTGGGTCATCAAGTGAACCCTGATCTAAGAGGAACAATCGTAAGCACCATTACTCTCAACTCTCACCCAGATTGGTTGACATAGAAATAAGGAGTTTTGAAACTCGTTGTAGCTGTCACACAAGTGCTGGAGACGCGTCTCCAGATCATTGCATGCGAGTTCCAAACGGCAAGAAAGAGCTCGCCAGTTGTTAGCTGCTTAAGGCCTGGGTCTCCCTAGTCGAATCAAAAGAGGAAAGTGAAATCCGAGAGGTTCTACGCGTGCATGTGCTGACTCGGAAATTTGAGGATTTGCTGTTGCTGGATCTGGTGTCCAGACTTCCAGAAACGAAAGCTTGGCTCAGGCATAGACATGAGTATAACTAGCTTGAACAACATGAAGGATCCACACAACCATAGTCTCTAGTACCAGTACCTTCTATGCTTCTCTACAGGTAGATCCACACATCCAGTGCAATGGTATAAGATTTGGAGCTGGACAGGTGGCGGTGTTCTGGTAAGACCGGAAAAGGATCCAAGATAAAAAACGGTAGCTATATCTACAAGTTGATCACCTGTGGAAATCTTGAGCACATATTTATCTTTTCAACGCCCGCATGAAGACAGTTGTGTTGTCCTTTCATTGCCCGAGTCTGCTTGAAAATCTCGTCCCAAAAAACGATTTTCTCCCATGATATTAACTCCATTTTGGAGGGTCATTTGGAGCACTCGGTCGTTGTAAAAATTTGGACCATCAGCTTTGTCGGACGCGAACACCAGGGCGACTCCTTTGTTGTTGTCCCCATTCCCAAACTTTACATCGGAGAGGCATTGAACTTTGATCGTTGCAATCACGAGGTGAGTTGGACGCTTTGGCTTGAGATTGAGGTGGGTTGACTCGCATCCTCTTTCGTTCCATCGTCTCTCTCAGTTCTGTCTGCAGGGTCTTCTGACCTGTTTTCACAAGTTGAAACCCCTGACTGATGGTCGCCTCGATGTATCGTGCGGCTACTGTGGAGTGTTCGTACTTGAGCATCTGGATCCTTTGACGAACTTCTTTGACCAGCGTCTCCTCCGGGAGTGGTTGTTCCTTGCCGTCCCACCGTATGTACGGGTTCGGGTTCTCTGGTTTCCGGTCGAGACTGGCAAAGAACGCCCTCGCTTGGTCCTCTTGGTCGTGGGGGAGCGCTAGTTCCACTGTGGTGTGGAATGGGAAGAGGATCGTGAATGGAGTGATCTCCTTCTCCATTCCTTCGCACTGACCTTCACTCTGGGGGCCATTCTGTTGAATCTCAGCACGGACCCTTCGTGGTGCTGGGTCGCCTGATGGGGTGGCAATCTCGACTGTGTCCTGTCGTCGACCCATCAATTTTCGAGCGGCCACCTGACTATAGGTCAATTTGGACGGGACCGCTCTCTTGTTTCCCCGAATTTGTTCTGTGACTTTCTTTGCTGGTGCTGATTGTGGAGATCTTGTACTGCTGGGTCCTGCACTCGTTCCAACATCTCAAAAGCTTGTTTTTCCAATCCTTCGATCTCATTTTCCGGGGGCCGTTTTTTGTTCTTTCTGAGGGTCGCCTGCTTCGCTGTTGACGTCTTTGTGTCTGCAGCGAAGGGGTTCCCTGTTGCATTTTGGTACTTTGTTTTTTCCCCCTGTTTCCATGGATCCTTCTTTGAGACCGAGGTAGAGGAGGAGGCGGTCGAAGAGGAGAGAAAAAGGCTCTGCTGAAGCGGTGAAAACATAATCGGACTCAAACACTCACAAACACTCGAAAATAAAATGAATTTGAAAACAAATTGAACAGACTAAACTGTCGGAGGCAGAATTGCTCGACAAACTTCGAAAGCGGGAAGCTGAGAGGCGCAACGCAGAACGAGCTCCTGAGTTTTTGACTGATGAAGAGAAGAGCATGAGCATGGACCAACTACATAGAAAATGGAAAGTGGAATGACAACGACGAATGGCGGAGAAAGAAATGCTTGAACATCGGATTTCGAGCCATTAGGCGAACTTACTGCAGAGCAAAAGCTGCTGCCGCGCCGCGACATCCAGCGAATAGTTAACAACCGAAAAAACCAGGTGTGGGCTCAGTCTATGAAAGCGCGAGGCGTCAAAGTTTTTCAATGTGATGTTTGTAATCAATTGTACACAGAGACAAGAGGGAAACACGAGTGTTTACAAACCCGATGGCGCGCCGAAGGTTCAATTCCCGCTATCTCGCGTAATCTTGTTGTCACTAAGTCGCCGGGAGGCCTCCGACTACGAACTGCAACCGTAACAGACCAAGAAGCATTGCAAGCGACATACGAACAACTCAAAGCGGCTTCAGCAGACGCCGCAGCAAAGAAACGTTGGAGCTAGTGGTCAATGACGAGGCCATGACAGACGACGCACCAGCAGCAAACACCTCGATACCCCTGCCTGGATCAACCGGTCGCCTTTTTCGTTCCCGATCCCTTGATGATGCTACATGATATTTTTTCAAATGTGTATAACTTTTTTATCTCTTCATATTTCTATGTCTGTAATATATTGACCCCCCCCATTTTTGATAGCTACCTCTTTTTTCACCAACACCACTTGCCATGATTTTGTCCACCAGCTACAATTCATCGAATTCACTAATCGATCCTCCACCTTTCTTGCTTTAATCGATTCTGGCTCACAATTGAACATCGTTTCCCATCTGCTTCTACCGTTTCTCGATTACCAGCCATGTTCCTCCCCAATTCGTGCCCTTCATGGGGTGGGAGGCAAAAGTAATGACATATGTTCTTGGATTGACCTTGCTGTACAACTCCCCAACAATATTACCATTGATCTGAAGTGTGCTGTCGTGACTCAATTGCCGTGTGTTGCTAATAAGATTCGCGGCCCAAAGCGTGGGAATGGTGATCATTGTTGCGAATGGAAGAATGGTGCAAGTCCAGCAAAATCCGGAGTTCAACACGTAAGTACCAGCAGCAGAGAGTGTGGATACTGTTAACCACATGGATGAAGAGTTGGCAAAGCAAGAAACTATGGGGAAAAGCCAGGGCAAAACACACTGAACTATAGAAACGTAGATAAAAAAGCTGGTCAAAATCATTAAGACCACGAACGCAGGATACTTTAGGCATCTGAGAATGAAATGATGCGTGAAGTATACAATATAACCACAAAGAAGTAGAATAAACAACATACCCAGAAAGTTAGGGTCATGGATGTCTAGCGTGAGCAGCGTAGACAGAAAGCACGTAAAAACGGAGAAGAAGGAGGTTGTCATTCTAACAAGGGGGAAAGAAAACCGTAGATCCCGAGGTTGCGAAAATATCAAAAGCTTACAGGTTAGCGAGTTCAGACAACAATTGCACCGCCAAGTGTGGTGGTGCTCCTAGGGCGGGAGACAAGAGGATAGCATGCTTGATTTCCTTTCTTGGTTTTCTTAAGTCTGTGTCTCGTAGAACAAAGTCTCACAAACCCATCAGGGCCCCTCCAGACTTTGGAATCCGACGACGCTTCCTAG